CGCTGCAGCCTCCAGCACCCTGGCTGCCTGCCCTGCCTTGCACAGCACGGCCCCATCACCTCGGGTTCTGGTGAAAACGTGAGCCCAACGCAGCAAGCTACTGCTTCCCTCTTCGCAGTTCCTCCCGGGAATGTGGGAATAAAGCAGAACCGGTTCAGCTAATGAGAGGGCAGCGCTGGGGCTGCAGCCCCCACACCACAGCCTGCCCTTCCCCTCACATCAGTCAGCGGGAGGAGAGCCTCTCCCTCCGCAGAGATCAACGTTCATTCACGGACACGGGGGAAGGAGCCTAGGAAACTCCTGCCACATACTGCACGGGCTGTTATTAGGTTAGGTCATAATGAAGTCCTCATCCCTCCCTCTTGCACGTGCACGTCCCACAGATGCCCGCACAGACATGCAGACACAGGCACACGCCCGCTCGGTGCAAAGCAAGCAGGGCTGAGAGGGGGTTAATGCGGCGTGCACCTCCGACAGAGCCCTGCGCGGCAGCTTCCACGCGCCGGCCGCGCCAGCCGAGACAGGATTTACTCAGGGAGCAGAGTGCTCATGCCTGAAGCCCGCTCATTCACGGCACAGGCAGTTCCCGGCTCCTGCCAACCCCGGCTACGCTGATGATGATCTTTTCTTAAATCTGGTTTGTGTGCCGGCCTGTTTATTTGCATCACGCGCTCAGGACAGACGTGGGGTAAGCGCAGTGATAAGCTACGTGGGGCACCACATTCAACTGCCCAACAGATACACATCAACTACTTTTAATTGTGATAAGAAGCACAAGAAACCTCCTGTCGCACAGGACTGGTGCTGTAGGAAAGCAGCCGAGCGTGTTTTCTAACTGCAGCTTTATTCTTGTATGAAAGGCTAAAGGCAAAGCTAGAAAAATGAACCTAATGGTACACGTTCACTGAACGCTTTTAAGACAAGACAGGGCAGTAAAGCTTTTATTGCTAAGAAGAACCAATGGGAGGCTTTAAAGCTCATCTAGCGTTCAATTTTTGTTTGTAAGTAACCCAATCTAAGGCAGCTTTTCAGCTTTTAAACCCCCCTTGCCCTTCAGGAATGCTTCAAAAGGACGATGACCTGAGGATGGTGTCTGCTCTCCAGGCGGATGCTCCGTGTGAGATGCCAACACAGGCCACTGACAAACGGCAGAACGAATCCCAGCCACCTGGCTGTGGCCTCCTGCCGACAGTCAGACAAGGCAGGGTGGCACAGCACCCAGGGAAGAGCACCCTGCCACCTGCGAAGGCTGCCCCACGCCCCGGTGGCTGCGGCAGATGAGCACTGTGGACTTGTCCCCGGCAAAGCCAGCTGAGCCTGGGCGTGCTGGCTGTGATGTCCCGCTCCAACTACTGGACTGTACTTTCTCCTGGAGGGGTGAGGCTACAGGCAGCAGGACACTGAGCACTCTGGGGATTCCTAGGGATCCTCCAGGATGCAACGGCTCAGGGCTGGCCACCCTTTCGTGCTGGTGAAGCCACTATGGCAGTCAGCACTGCTCCCAGGAGTGGCGGGCGGCCCCTAGTCTTCAGGGATCGGGGTGTTGCAGTTCCCGTGGTAAATTTTGACCTCACCCTCGCACTGGAAGTACTGGTCAAACACGTCGCTGTATCCATGGTCCCTCCACCACGTGCAAAGCTGCCGGTTCCATGTGCAGTCGAGTACATGGAAGAGCTCTGGGTGCTCCATCCCCACCATGGTGAAGAAATCCTGGTCGCCGAGGTGGCCCTTGAAGTGGTACTTCTCCGTCAGCTTCTGCACCGTGGTGGGCTCCAGCAGCTGGTTGTAGAGCTTGGACTTCCTCATGGCTTCCAGGTTCAGGAGCAGGACACCACTGTTGAAGCCGGGCAGCCCGTCAGGAGGGGGATCCCCCACCTTGGTTTGGGGGTTCTCACGGCGATACTGCCAGAACGTGTGCCTGCAAAGAGAAAAAACAGGAAGAGGGGAGTCCAGGAGGGCAGCCCCCTCAAGTCTGGGCAGGTCTGGACCACGGCACAGGATCTACCACCCACCCAAGGGATCTCACAGTTTGTCTTCTGCTGGCTGAAGGCACCCACCTCCCGGAGCAGCCTGGTGCTTCACAGCTGCGTCTCTCTCCATCCCCCTGCACAGGATGCTCAGACCTCAAACCACTCTCTCTACTCTCTCCTAAAGCCCCTTTTGTTCTACCAACATCGCTCTGATGAGCCAACTGGACACGGGATCGTGTGACTGCTCATGAGGCTCTGCGGGGAGAGAAGCCACATCCCCAGTGCCTAGGGGGAACCACCAGAAGTGTCCCCATGGCTGGTACACGCCAGGAAAGCATCCTGCAGTTAACAGGAGCTCGCAGCACCATCATTATATAATTATGGGAAAGTTCTGGATCAAAGATGGGCCCCAGTTGGAGGCTGTGCAAAAAGAAGGCATGAAATAAATCTGAGTGGCAGAAACATTTCTTCAAAATGCCGTAAAAAATCCGATGGCAGCATCTCATCAGCTAAACAAGCACTGCCTTCAGCATCCACAGCCCTAGGAAGGCTCAGCTGCAGCACCTCTGGCAGACGCAATCTTCACCAGCTGATTTCCAGCTGCCCCGGAGAGGAGAGCCGTGCCAGCCTAGAGCACACCCAGCTAACTCCAGAGGGTGATTCAAATGGGAAAGATTTAGCCTACCTAAGCAAGCAGCCCAAAAACGTCTCTGGCTCCTTCCTCAGCCCTGTGGCAGCGAGCACACCCCACCACACACACACGAGCTGCTCCCACTTGCAGCAACTGAATTCATCTCATGCTACTACCTGAGCAGCTGGGGTTGAATGTGCCCCCCAAATCAATCCCATTCAGGCTGAGCCTTCTGCCCCACGCAGCATCCTCTGCTGCAAAGCCAGGCAGCTGAGACTGGAAGGAGGGCAGGAGGGACCTGTGGCCCCCAGCCCTCCGTCTGGCAACCCAGGGGTGCCAGCACTGCACTCTCCTTCCAGCCCTCACACTTCAGGAAAAGCTACAGCAGGTTTCTTTGCACCTCGCTTTGAAGATGTCAGGGAGAAACCCTGTTAGAAAGAATAAGCCGCTGGTTCCTCTCTGAATCTATCACTGACCAAAGCCTCTGTGTACCTCCAGGAAACAAGATTTTGTTGGGAGAAGGTTGGATTTAGCACCCCAAGGTTTAATATGGCCCCACGCTTGGAAGCTGAAGCTAGGCTAATGCAGATGCAAGAAGCTGCAAGGATGTTACCCCCTGGGACAGCCCCAGGGTCACGGTGGGCACTGCACCTCTGCAAACATTTAAATTGAATTTTTTCTTGCGAGAAGCTGTGTTCCGCTCTAACAGGCACAAGCGCAGGGAATCCTACAGCTTGTGCAGAGATCAGACTATTAAATCCACCCTTCTGGCCTGACCTCTGGATCCCGAGAGGAGCCAGGACAGCACAGGACTGCAAGGAGCCCTGCCCAGGAGAGAGTGGGATTCAGCAGCCACAGAGAATTATCCCAGCAGAAAACCTATTCATGAAGTCAGCTGTGAGCAGGTTTTTCATTGCCTGAGACGGAGAACCGCAACCATCAAGCAGCATCACTTCAAACCTCTGAAATGCCTCATTTCATTGAGGGTCTTTACACCGCTTCCCTTCCGCCTGATTCGCATGGAAACGGTTTTCCCAAGCGCCAGTTTCCCACGGAAGGAAGGCTCAGTTTTCGAGCAGCCATCTCCATGTGTCCCGGGGACGGGGAGCGGAGGGCTGGCTGCCTCACAGAGCCCACGGGCAGCAATGCTCATTTGATCTAAAAGGCAGGGAAGGCATAAAAAACCTCTGCCCCTGCAAAGGGCGGTTGTGTCTCGAGGACAAGCAGCAGGCCACCGCAAAGCCGACTCGTGGATGCTCACGAGGAAAGGGCAGCAAAGCGCTCCCCACGCAGCCCTGGAGGGAAGCTCAACACGTAAAGGCAGCCCCAGCCTCGCACCATCCTGAGGGTCTCAGGGGCTGAGCAGAGCTCAAGCCCACCCCTGCGTACGCTGCCCTCTCTGCCAGGAAACCATCTTTGTGCCCAAAGCACGGCGCTGGATGCTGGCAGGAGGGAGGGGGGAGCAGCGCCGCAGAGGCACCTTTCCGGCTCCACCACAGCCGAGCCGACTACTCCTTTTGTGTTCTCACCTCCAACAACACATGCTGCCGGAGCTGAGGGATGAAATTACAGCCCCTGCAAGCAGCTACAACAGGAAAAACGCGAGCGCCCGAGCCCTCGGCGTGCATCTGTACCAAATGACTCCAGTTCTGAGCAATGCCATTCCCCAGCGGATTACTTGGCGACGGCCAGGAACGAGAAGGGAGCAACGTGCAGGCAGAGGAGACAGACCGACGAGCAGCAATTGTTCAGCCCTTCCTCCCGACGCTGTCGTGACGGGGCC